CACCTCGCAAAAAGAAAATTTCCTTCTAACAAAATCTGGCAGCTCATACAAACTATTCCTGAATGCTTCGATTAAAACGTCTGGAATAATCTTGCAGTCCTGGCAGTGCAGGAGACCCTGCTGTGCAGGTCTGCAGATGCCTCTAAAATGGCAGACCGTGAGGAGAACATCATGACTCAGCTCTGTCCTGTTAAAGCTCATCCATCCAGTGAAGCATGGAGGCGGCGGTGTCATGGTTTGGGCTCAGTTATAGAGTCCACCATGATGATGGGGAGTATAGACCTAGTGGTTAGAGCAGTGCCCTTGTGCTCTGAGAAGGTTGCAAGTACCCGGTTTGATCCCCACATTCTTGCACTATCGGCTCCTGAGCAAGACCCTTAACCCCACCCTGCTCCCCGGGCGCCACACAATGGCAGCCCACTGCTCCCCAAGGGGAGGGGTTAAATGCAGAGAGTGAGTTTCCCCACTGAGGTACAATAAAGGGATTTACATTATTTTACATAACATGATGACCCAAGCATAGCAGTAAATCCTGCTGGTCTCTGAGTTTCGGAGAAGTATCTAATTCCCTGACCTTAAACTGCTCTTCTACTGTGTGGCTCTGACTGGAGGCTCTGCAGCAAATATCCCGTCTTTTAAAACAAACCTCAGCTCAGAATCAGCTGCTGTGGATATTATAAGGTTCCCATCTCTTGTTTTTTTAGTTTAGTGGACAGCCTTCACAGGGAGTAGGGAAGCAGACCAGTTGAATTCTCAGGTTTTTAACGTTTGACGTCCTCCTCCTCCTTCAGCTGGACTGCAAGAGTTCGGCCTGCAGCAGTTTCCCAGACATCTACCACGAGTTTGAATCTCTGCACGGCCAAGTTAGACAGACTGCACAGGACTACATCTCCAGTCCTCTAGGTGGAGCCATGCCGGTGGAGGTCAGGAACATCGAGGTGAGCCCATCTTTCCTTTCCGAGTCCAGCAGCTGTGAGCAGCAGGTCATGTGACGCGGCGTCCGTTCTCCACTGTTGCAGGTGGCAAGGTCTCTGGGGATCCTGGATGAGGTGAACAAGATGAAAGTGGTTCCTGGAGCGGCCCCAGTCTCGGGTGTGAACAGTAAAAATGTGCGGTACATGGGGGTAAGCATAACGTCAGGAAGTTTGGGATATGTAAAACCATCACACATTTGACCAAAGAGCTAAACACCAGGAAAGCATTGCTAAAATGTAACAATCAGAACAAAATCAAGGAGCATTAAAACAGATTTAAAGCAAAGGAGAAGCTGGAAATGAGCCGTAAACTTTGTTTTAATGTAAATCTGCAGTAATCAGTGATGTTGCAGTCCTGATTTTAGAGATCAACAGTTTGTGAACAGAGCTGCTGAGGAGCTCAAACCCGCCTTAGCCTGTTTAGTTCTGGTTCTGGCCACACGGGGGCAGCAGGCCTCAGCTCTACGAAGGTCATTTTTCATTAAAACTATTTGTGCATTGTAACCAGAATGTTCCCATTTTGGACAAAGAAGACAGGTGGTTTGAGAGGGGCTTGAAGGAAGCCATCTATGTTAAGAAAGAAAAACCAACCTTAAACAGAGGGGGGGGACTCAGATTTCAGCTTTCAGAAACCTACAATGCAGCGATAGAGATGATTCCTTCCCGCTATCATCTCAACCCCTTTACAGGGGAACAGAAGACCTCACCTGTTCAGCCAGGCCAACAATTCCCTTAAACGACCTCCATTTAAGAGACATAGACAGGTAAGGGGCATTGCAGGCTAACTAAGAAGCCAAACGACCCCCATTCCAAAGGGGTGGACCCGTCCATCCGTTTCTATTTGCATGTTTTCTAAACAAAAACAAGGCTTTGTTGGGCTACTGGATAAAACCTGGAACTGAACGCTATTTCTGACATTTTGAACTGAAAAAGCTTCCTGGATGGGAAGAGAAACGTCTTCAAATTTGGAAACAAAGTTCAGTGGATTGTTTAACTTTTTTTGGAATCCATCCGTCTTCTGTGCTGCTTGTCCATCAGGGTGAATGCCACCTTTACCAACGCAGCTTCTACGCCATCAAAGACTGCCTCCCCAACAGGATCAGTTAGACTGGAATTTATACAAATTTCTGTTTTTGAGGACGATGATCTGAGTGAGACATCTTTAAACTCTGAGGGAACCAGATCAAGACAGTAAATAGTTATCAAAGTGACATCATTCAGTGGTTTGAAGTATCTAAAACATTTCTTTACCTGGAGTTAACCCTGCTCTGATAATCCTCACAGCTCATTTCCAGTTGAGAACGGCTGGTTCATAAAGACCTTCAGAAACCCAGAAGAATGCGAGTAAAGACCCCGTAGAGAAGATTACAACTAAGAACAAATCAGTCAGGGTGGAAAACTCAGTCTGGACTAGAGCTGAAACTATTAATCTGATCGATTATTGAAATAATTGTGAACTAATTTAGTAATTGCTTAATCGTTAACTGGAGTATAGATCGAAATATGAGAGATTAATCTATTAGCAAAATAATGGCGTTGTAGGCCTAGATTAGGCCAGGCTTCCTCCGTTACGCTCCTCCAGCTCTGCTGATGGAGTCACATGACCAGGTCATCAGCAGGAGGAGGCTGCAGGCTGAGGAGGGGATTCAGGTGTGGAAACAGAGAAGCATCTAGAGGCTGCACAACAGCAGATGCACCTTCAGTTTCACTTTAACGTAATCAAACGTCTTCTTGTTCTCCAGAACTCCAAGATGTTGCCGCCATCGAAGAGATTTAAGATGGAAAACAACATTGGAGATCACCAGAACGGCACCGAGGCGCCGAGAGCAGGTACCGATCCAAAGCATGTATTTATAATTCAGCCTGTTTGATGGACATGCGTGAGGCTCCGCCCTCTTTGCTGGTAGAGAGGCAGACGTGTAGGATGGCGGTTAACACGGGATTAATGAGGCGCTGCATGCAGAGCTTAAATTTATTTGTTTCAATTCAGTTTACTTCTGTAGCTCCAATTCATCGTGTCAGCCCAGGTCTTTATAGATCTAGATCAACCAGAGCATCCAGTCAGATTCAAGTTTGTAAGGAAAAAGCAGCTGATTGCATCCAGTCACTGACTTTGCAGGATCTAGACAGGAGAGATCAGGGCCGCTGGACGTCATTTGGATCAGGGGGTGCTGTGAAATTACTTTTTCTTTTTTTTTGGACAAAATACCTATGAGCCTTAAGGCTTATTTAAAATACAATAAATAAAGAGATTGAGATTCACTACTTCATTGTCACTTCAGTGCACGCAACCAGGGCCTGTAACTCAGACATCATTAATCAAATTAATCATTTATCAGTTAATTAAACTTCACAATGAAAAATTCTCAGTGGCTTTATGCCTATTTAAGAAGCCGGCATTCACGAAGGGGTTGTCTTTCTTAAATTTGTCTCTAGGTATGACTTTTTTTCTGACTGCTTCCAGACAAACAAAACACTAAATTTGATCCGTCTCTTCCACATCATGCAGCCACTGCCATCCAGCAAACGGCGAGAACGTTTCATTACCGCAAAGCCGAGCAGGAAGTGGATGTTGCCTTGTTTAATGCAGTCACGCTAGCTTTGGTTGCTGGAGCAACTGCCATCAGAGGTGGGAGACAGTCTCCTCACTCCGGCTGCTCTCCGTTGTCGTGGTTGCGGTATCAGCGTTCTTCACTGATGGTTTAAAAAAAAAAAATCCAAAATGCGTTTCTGTGCCATTTGTCTTCCTCGTTTCTGCCATTAGACTATGTACATTTAAAAGTCTGCTGCCGTAAGCGGGATATCACGCTCTAGCTTGCTTGACGTTGCCATGACAATGCAACTCCTGTGAACTTGTGTTGATTAGGCCTCAATATAATTACATTAACATCCAAATACAAAGAATAGTAAAACTAAAAAAAGTCAAAATAATTTCCCATAAATTCAAAAGGAATTTATAAATTGTGCAAAGTATTTTTAAAACATAAAAAAAAAAAAAACCTCCCTCGCTACTAGAGATCTGCAGCACCCACACTTTCCAGCAGCCATGGGAGAGATTGACTCTGCAGCAATTCCTCAGGTCTCTGTCTGAATGTGACATCATACTAATGCTACATTCTGACCACAAGCAGCTGGAGCAGCTAAAACACGTGTGCTGCTTCATTTTTTAATGCTTTTACAAGACGCGCGGCTGAAGCATCTTTGCTGCTCTAGCTGCGCAGTAGAAAAGTGGGTCTGATGCGCGGTGGGCGGAGCTACTCTATCCTTTCTTTGTCTGGAACAATGGCAGCTATATCTGCTGTGAAAATTAGTTTTAATATATTTTGAAGTGAAAAAGTCCTCCTGAAAACATGGTCTGTGCAGTCAGTTCATCCAGATTACCATCCTGCCTTCAAAGATTATTTCTCTGTGGGACCCGCTCAGACCCCCACATAGCGGCGGAGCGCTGTCACCGGGAATCCCCAGCAGCAGCTGCCTCAGGCCCGCTCGCCTCTTGGGGGTTTTCCCCTACTGTTGGTGGCGGCTGGAAGTAGATGTTAGCGTTTTTCAGGTCTGTGCTACAAACTGCAGGGAAGCAGGATAATAAAAGCGAACATATTCTGCCAGCAGGTTTCTACATTCTAAGTTAATTTAGGCGTTAATAATCTGTTTCAGAGGAGCGATCATAGCGCTCTGCATCAGCAGTGCTGTGTCTGACTCCCTGCCAGCTCCCAGATCCGCTTCTCTCATTGGTTGATGTGGCGCGTCCAGCAGCTAAAGTTCAATTTTTCCAGCTCCTGTTCATGTCTGCAGCTGTGTAGCTCTCACCTCCTGCCCCCCCTGGGGCCCCCAGGCCTTCATGGATCATGTTGCCTCAGCTCCCAGTTATGGAGCTGCTATGGGAAGAACCTCAGGATTAGGAGCTGTTTTCATATCTGTGCTCATGTGTGTGTTTTCTCTCAAAGGTGCCGCTCCGGTGACCTCGGCCCCTTCCCCTCTGCTGAAGTCCTGTTCCGTCTCCATGTCTCCCCTGGATATTTCAGGTGGATCCAAAGTTCTGACCAGCTCTACTGAACCTACCTCCAGGTGAGCAGACCCCGATTCTAGTTCAACTGAGCTCCATCACCATGGAGACATTGTTTCCTTATAAAGCCGTCCAGGTAAACTAGGACTAGCCCTGACAGGTAGAAGCTCCTCAGTCTAAGAACTAATCTAAGAACAGACTGTTTCAGGACCGGCCCGGGCTAACATTAGCCTTGGAGCTCTGCTTGTGTCCGCTGTCTTCTCAACATTATAATACTTTTTTTATTTATGCACTAAATCATTAAATGTTCCATATAGTGAAGCTTAAATTATAATATTCTCGCCTCAAATGATCTTAAAACATACTTTTATTGAACAACGGCAACAGAAAAGAGAACATTTAACTTAATCCTCTGAGCTCTGTGAGCGCTAACCTGGAAGCTGCTGCCGGGTTAAATTTCTGTTCTAAAACACTAGAATAGTTGAGTTCACGCTGATATTCTGTGGACCCATTTTGTCTTGATCTTCCAGCTCTTCTGCCACCTCCCCTGCTGCACCACCTCCCACCCTGGTCCCACCTCCTGCCAGCCCCCTGGAGGAGCAGAAGGAGGCGCCGGAGCCCTCAGTCCAGGACGAAGACATGGCCGACGCCTCTGACCAGATGACTCAACCAGACGGCGCTCCTAGTTCCAGCCCTAAGGGAACCACAGACACTCAGACGCTGGAGTCCAGCCCCCCCCAACCCTCAGCCTCCTCCAAGCCTGATCCTGGGTCTGCAGAGCCCAGGGAGCTGCAGGCGGGGCAGGAGATCTACATCCAGACCGAGGGGCTGACGGTCCAGCTGGCTGAGCCGGGGTCGGACGGGATCGTCATCGTCAACGGGCCAGACGGAACCACCATGCACATCCAGACCCCAGAAGGAGTTCCCCTGGAGGCGGTGCAGGCTCTGCTGGGCATCGAGGCTTCAGACGGAGACAAACCTCCTCAGCAGAGCCAAGACTGAGCTCAGCTCCCCCCGAACAGTACCGCTGATGAAGGGGCCTGAAAACGGGCGGGCGAGCGGGTGCTCTGGGTCAGCGCCAGCCGATGGGCGGCCGGGTCGAGTCCACAAACACCCGACTGTTGGCAGAGCAGGAGGCAGGGACAGAGGGGGCTGCAGCACCTCCTCCTACGACAGGTTGGAATCTAGAAGGAGGTCCAGCCGCTCTGAATATTGGAACCATGGGGGGGGGGGCATATCCCACATGACAATCGGTCCTTCAGAACCTTTCATTTCTCCTGTTTTACGTTGCTGGTCCGGCCCCTCCCCCTCTGACTGTCTGCACTTCATTTGTTCGTTTTTATTTTTCTGTTTCTGAAATAAATATTTTTCAGAAATCAAACGCATGAAATGACGGATTAAATGGGGGGGGGCGCCTTGCTTTGGTCCGTATTTGGGTTCTGCAGAGGTCCGTCTGTCCCGTTTGGACCATTAAACCCTACAGATCCTCATACTGGGACCAGTTTGCTTCTGTCTCTGGTGTGGGCTGGGATCCCGGCCCCCAGCCTTTGTGTTTGTGTCAGGTGGGTGCGGGGCTCCAGAACATTCGTTTCCTGGAGGATCAAGTGCGGAACGCTGAAGAGGAACCAGAGTTTTCCCGGAATAAGGTGGTTTTCTTAACGCCGTAGGATCTGGTGTTTCATCAGAGGAGAGAATCCTGACCCAGAAGCCTTTGCAGTGATGGCGAAGCGCTGAGCTCCGCTGCTGCCAGGACCTTTGAACATCTCTACATCTCTTCCGTGTTTTTACCACATACGCATTTAAAACTAGAAGGTTGGATGTTTATATGTAGATAAAGACCATGAACAAAGTTAAAGAGTTTCACTATTTTATTACTTTTTATAAAGCATCAGTCATGTCTTTGAAGCGGGGGGGTCAGTATCCACTACATGTTACCTTCTTCCAATAAAGCCCTGATAGAAACCGCCCTCAGTTTGGTGATTCAGTAGAAACAGGCAGGAGCCATCAAAGGAGGTCCACACGGCTCCTCGGGGGATAGAGGAGGTCCACGCAGTGAGACGCGGCTCCTCAGAGAATAGAGGAGGTTAGGAGAAAGACTGTCTGCAGATGACGAACCCAAATTTAGTCTAAATCATGAAAAAGTGAAACCTTTCAGAATGTTCCCCCATCAGGTAAACACAGAACCCCTTCAAAGGTTTCATGAACGTCCCTGGTCCAACCTGCCTTCAGGTCTGCAGAGTCCTGCTAATGACTCAATTATTTGGTTCTGGTGTGTGGAAGCAGCAGGAAGGTGTTCCTTCAAGACCTCTGCTGCAGATGGGTCCATCATGGGGAGGATGAACTGATTCATAGAAGATTGAGTGGAAGGAGAAAATGAGGCCTGACAGTTCTTCTCAGAACAGCTGGATACAGATGTTCTAATTTTCTGAGTCATAATCATTAACATGACAGGAAGTTTGAATCTATGAGGCAAAGATATTAAAGTTTTTAATGTTTGAAATTAATTTTACAGCTGATGTTAGGATAAAGGTTGGTTCAGCCCAGGCAGACGGGATCAATCCTTCCAGCAGCTTCAGGATCTTCGTCTTCCCAATGTTTTATCAGTCTTTCAATCTCAGCAAATGACTGTAATCCATCTATTTTAATTCTTAACGGGACGTTAGGTTCATTCAGATAGCTATGAGTCTGTGCTGGGGGAGGGGTCTAGGCATGCAGGATGCCATCTTTGACCTGGGATGATTTTAATAAGTGGATCAAATGTAAACAGAGTGAATCTGATCACTGAGGAGCTCGATTAGAATATAAAGAACGCTTCTGAGGAGGGGGCGGAGCTCTTAGACGCTATTGCAGGTTTAAAGTTCCTGTTTGCTCCTGTTGTTTAGAGCTTCTGGTCCCTGATAGATTTATAAGGGCCTAGATGTAAGGAAGTCCAGAATGTCCTGATAAGTCTGAACATGCAGAAAAATCCTACTGAAAGCCACACAGTGATTAATCGAAGCCCCGCCCCTAAAGAAACGAATAATGAAACCATCTAAAGGTGAAAACATTTATTTATTGCAGCAGTTTCAGTTTTATTTCCATATTCAGACATCCCAGTAAAAAATGCTGGTCCCAGTGATGTGGAGCCTCAGAGTGGGCGGTGCCCCGTCTCCAGCAGCAGCGCCTCCAGAGTCAGCCTGCTCTGGGGGGGGATGTAGGGCTGGTGGAGCCAACAGGACAGGTAGACCAGCTGCAGGTCGGCGGACGCGGTGTGGGCCAGCTCCTGCAGAACCACCTGCTTCAACTTCAGCTCCTGACTGAAGGCGGCCAACAGAACCTGAGCAGAATCCACTGAAACGACAGACAGCCAATCAGCTGGCAGGAAGCTGGATCCGCCAATCAGATGGGCCCGCCTGCGCTGCGCTAATACCTGCTAGCTGAGGGGCTCTTACAGCCGTTTGCTCATTAGACGTTATATATGTAGACGCTTCATTGGACGCCGTCAGCAGCGAGGCCGACGTGCCTAGAGGGCGGCCATCTTGGATAAGACCACAGTTCAGAAAGCTGCTGTATAGGAAGAGGAAACGCCTTAGATCTCATCTGCATATCATAAATATATTATATATGTCACACATTATGAGATTAAAGAACAAATGTTCACATATACAAAAATAATGAGAAAAAAAAAACAGTTTCTAAAAGAGTTTTGGACAAAAAGGCTTTAGTTGGACAACAAATTTACCATTCAATATGATTTGACAAAAAGTCTTGACAATGACAGAAAATAAATAAAAATTAACGTAAAATTAATTTTTAAAAAACAAAATAACTTTACTCTCTTTTGTAAATCACAAAAAAATCCTTTAAAATGCTGAATAATAATCATAATATACTATATAAATATATATTTGTAAAACATGACCCTATAACGTAACACGTTTATCATATTAATATTTGATTGAAAAATATATAACGTATCTCATCCAGTTTAGGTTCAGTTTAAATAGTTTTTAATCTGAATAAATCTGTAATCTAAGGGAAAGGTAATGTTAGTTTGTTTAGTCTTTTAAGGGATTATGACATGGAAGAGATTATTGTAATATTAACTCTGACTCATCTTTCATGTAATTAAAATGAGATCTAAGACGCCTCCTATTCATTCTAACAGCAGTTGTCTGAACTGTGGTCCGATCCAAGATGGCCGCCCTTTGGGCACGTAGGCCAGCATCCAATGAGGTGTCTGCTCCAACTGTCACAACATACCTAATAAAAACTTCCTACCTGAACATCAGGAGAGGAAGAAAACTCCAATCAGCCATTATTAAAACAGAGAATTTAAAAATGCTCATTTGCATAAATGTTGAAAACTGGAGGATTAATTTACGGACAGAAATATCTAAAACCAATCTCTACAAAAACTAGAAATACTACCTATTTAAGATTAAAATCATCATATATATATATATATATATATATATATATATAACATATATTTGACTTTAACAACAAAATATTACTAATCCTCTGCATGTGGATGAAGCAAACAGAAATACAGGCGGACTGACCGAACTCTCTGGTCCTCCAGCTGTGACAGAGAGGCGACGCTCTGCCTTCAGGACCAAACTGAAACTCCTCCAGATCCTGGAGTCCCTTCTGAACGGCCGTCAGGCGCTCCATCTTCTCCACGACGACCACCTGGACAAATAATCACATCAGTGGGGCCCCTGCAGACGTCTTCAGGTTGGAGGTCTGGATGACCAGAGTCAGTATTAATGCTCTGGCAGTTTCCATTAAACTCTAATGATCATCAGTAATGTTCTTCACTGAGGAGCAGCCTTGGCCCACTCTGCGTCAATTTATGGTGCGGTTAGCTTAGCCGTGGACCATTAGACATAGACTCAACTTTATTTATCCCTTGGGATTACTCCTTCAGGGAAATTCGGGTTCCAGTAGTTTATATAGAGTACAAAGAGTTAAAGCAAGATGCTTATGAGATAAAAATAAAACAGATAACATAAAAAGAGTCTATATCCCTCTGATGCATGAATTATGAAAGCCTTGATCAAGATTTTTTTCTCAAGGTTTTTTCTTATTCTTAGGACATGAAAAAAAATGTTTAACTTTTTTTTTTCCAAAAATATTGTTGTTTCATGAAGTTACAGATATGTCCACTGGAGTGGACTATGCGCACATGAGAACTCAATATTAAATATTATGAATTTATTAAAAAAAATAATGATCTAGTATTCTGTTGTAAAAAATGCATACCATTGATTCATTTTTATGCTTTGAAAAATATTTTGACATGTTTTGTTTAATTTTTTACATTATAAAGGCACAATGTTAAGAATCGAATAAGGAAACCAATGACACTCATAGCTTACTGAAGTGACTGAAATTCCTCAGGATCTGCTGCTGCCTTGAATGTCTCCTGAAGTGTACTTAGGAAGGGTCTTACAATGGGGAGCCTATATGTGTTTGCTGGGCGGTAAGGTTTCACTATAGAAACCATAGAATTAAAGAGATATTTACTTTGTAGTAGCTGTCCACTATAGTCCCCACTATGCACCAGAGGGATATAGTACAAAAGAGCATAAGAAAAGCAACTCGTCTGGTTCTCCGAGCCGTCCACAAGCCGACTAGCTGCTGATATTCGTACCACGGTCCATCCAATGGAGCTCCAGCTTCAGCCTGGATCCGAGGCAGAGGCTAACTTCCATCGGTCATGAAGCAGCAGAGCAGCCCAGATCATAACACTACTTCTACCATGTGCAACTGTAGGTTCCTCTGAAGGAGGATGTTAGTTTAGGACCAGCTGGAACAGACGCGTCCAAAAGGTCCCCCCCCCCCCCGAGTCTCTAAAGACTGGAGCCTGATGTGGTTTTCTGTCTGAGATCTTTGGCCTACTTCGTGTTGTCGGATGGGTTGTGTTTCAGCTTTCAGCATCGACTATAAATTCATTTATTTATCTTTATTCCTTCCAGTGACGGCTGCCATAGAAATAAACCGTTACTAGTTTAGCCGTAGTTCATTTTAAATGTGGGTAGAAGCTGTTTAACGCCTTTCTACATTTCTCTCCTCTGCTGCCGCTGTGTGAACACAGGGAGGCCTCCTTCTTCCCAGCTGCTGCCGTATGTCTTCCTTCAGCATCCAGTCGTCCCATATAGCAAACATCAGCAGGTCTCAGCGCCGTGCTGCGCCTGTCACAGCCATGGTGCTCCCTCTGAAAGCAAAGCTCCTTGGAACCGGGATAGACCTTTAAACCGCTAACCGTCCATCTATAAGGTTATTTTACAGGTCAGGTTTGGTCAGATCCTTCCCCACAGGAATGAAATTTACCCAGAGTTTCTTTATCTGACACTGATCTATATTTGATTCGACTTATTTCAGTAAATCTGCAGGGAGGAAATAACTTTTCACAGAGCGTCTTATTTCTTCCATATCAGAGGCGGTTAGAGCTAAAGGAAGCATCACCATCTGGTCCACCACAGCCTGCAGTTTGGAGCATTCTTCCTGGAGGTCTGCTGCTGCGGCTGTGTGCTGCTGCACCACTGGAAGGAACGACTGAGATGTGGAAGCTGAAGGGACGTCATCCGGAGGCCGACGGTCAGTCTGAGATCTGGGGAGGGAAACATTTGATGAGCTCAGTAGGACTGAGAGGACAATCTCTGGGTTAGATCTCCCAACATCTCAGATTTACAGACGATCTGAGGGGGTTTCAAACCTTCAACTCACTTCCAGGAGAACCTAAAACATGTTTTTTTCATGGCGCGAAAAACAGACCAAGAAAATTGATGAGTGTGAAAACATCCAGTATCACCGGCGGGTTTCGGAAGGCTGAGCTGCTGCGGATGAAGAGGACTGAGTGCTCAAGTGAGAGCGAAAAAGAAGAAAACGAAAGCAAGGAAAGCAACCCTGAAGCTGTTCCATTCAGACACCGAGGAAGAGGACTTTGAGGGTTTTAGTGCACAGGAGGAAGAAGAAAG